GAGCTGGCAAGTACACTCACCTATAGCAATCATCTGGATCCGCAGGAGTGGAGGTGGATGGAACACAACAATGGAGAAACAGGCTGAGCTTGAGTGTCTTCCTTCAGTGCTGCCCACCTAGCATGCACAGATATGTAGATGAGCAAGGAAGTTGGCTTGAGAAGCAGGGAGTAATGGGAACTCCTAGCTTGGTGTCTTGCTCCATGGGGGGCAGTGAAGTTGGGCTGAGTGAAGAGATCAACAAGTTTGGAACACAGGGAGAAGTGTGGACTCCTGAATTTGCAGCTGATGCCCATTTGAACCTAGTTACAGATGGCTGAGGAGGAGTTGACCAGAACCCAAACAGAGGAAGAGAAGATGATCCATGCTGTGAGCTAAGGTTAACTGCTGAGACCTGAGGGCTTGCTCTGGACTAGACTTTGCTTTTGGATGCAGGTGCTCAAAGTTTCCAAGTTGAAGAGAGGATTCTTCAGCAAGAGGGACATGCTTGTTCCCTCAGAGTTCTGGTTTGCTAGGGATGGGCAAACCAGATATTGGCTATTTAAAATGAAGATATTTATGGCACAAGGCATGAAATAGCTGGTGTGTCTGCTTTCACAGATGTAACATGATTGTAAGGGGTAAAAAAAGCCACAAAATAAGTGATTGAAATGTAATGTAAATGAAAGATTGCAACAAACACAATGTGCATACATGAAATACAATGTATATAAATGACAAGAAAATTAATCATCAGAGACAAACCGGGACCAAGCTTAGATAGCCTAGTCTATAGTATAAAGAGACTGCCAAATATAAGCAGAAGTGCACAATCTGAAGAGGATAAAGTTGATGAATGGGACATTCTAAAGATTAAATCACTGTGCTCATCAAAACATTTTCCAATAGGGTGAAAAGAAAACCTACTTATTGAGAAAAAACATTGGGCAATACCATTTCAGACAAGGGTTTCATATCAAAAGTTTACAGAATCCTATCAGACCTCCACAAGAAAAAGACTGATAACACAATTACAAAATGGAAAAAAGACATGGACAAAATTTTCACAGAGGAAGATATTTGGATGGTCAACAGACACATGAAGAAATGCTCAAAATTGCTGGCAATAAGAGAGATGCAAATCAAAACCACAAAATGAGATACCATCTCACTCCAGTAGCAGTGGCTAAGTTTAACAGGACAGCAAGTAATAAATGTTA